TCACCGGTCTATATGATGCAGTACCTCGCAGGGCACGACATGGACATGACGAACAATCCACTGCACAGGCCCATGAACTCGTTTCCGTACGAATTCAGAACGGCGATTGAAATGGACTACCTCAATGATCTGGCCGACCACAGTTTCATGTTCGCCAGGAAATTCCACCCAGGGGTTCAGGTCTTGCTGGCGGACGGCTCGAGAGAACCCCTGGACGATGTTCTGCCTCGTGTGTGGCGCCGTGTGGACGAGGCAGGCAGCTCAGGAGCAGTTTGGACCAGGCTCAGGAATCCAGAGCTCCCTCCTCCGTACTCCCTGGTGGGCCGTGTTGTCATAGCCTGGTTGGGCTCGATCATCGCGTCGCTTGCCGCCGTGTTCTTCTCTAATCATGCCTGCGCCAGGGCGCTGCCGCTCACCCTGTTGGTGCCGACTTCTGTGGTCATGTTCTATGGCCTGGTCTTTAAGTCATACGACATCAACTGAGCATCTGCCGCACGTTTCCATGAGGGGCGGGGAGAAGAGATGGAGGGGGGTGGACGAGGAGGCCCGACTTGGTGGTAGGAGTTTGTACAATGGAAGGTCGGTAGAGGTAGCTCCCTGGCATGCCCGATGGTCGCTCAGCGCGGCTTCCAAACATGCGGCATGACATCTGTCACATAAGTAGCCTGTCTGTAATAATTCTGTCAGCCACCTTCACGCTGCAACGCCGCTGGTTGTAGCCTAGAGCGCAGCAAAGCCAGAGATCATGCGGCCACATTGACCTCCCCGTGGCTCGGTCACACGTGGGGCTGAGCGGCTCGCAGGTGCTTCCTCCAGTGAGGGGGAAGCGGGGCACCTGTGGTCACGCCCTCCATCATTCCCGTGCTCGAGTGTCCAGTGCGAAGACGCTGGACGTGCTCCAGAGCGAGCAGGTATTCGGTAGTTGAGAGAAACACATCCTCTTCTCCCCCCTCGTCTTCAAGCGTCAACCCCTGGACTTCCGCAGGGGTGCGGTGCAAGGACTTCGCTGGACTGCAAAGAATTTGAGAGATGATCCCAGAGTTGTTGCTCCCACTCGTCCCATAACGCATTCTTGTTTAACATCGTTTTCAGGTCAAGGTGGCGATCGTCGGATGAATCGGTAGGGGCGCGGAACGAGGGAGGAGGAGCAGGTGAGGGAAAGAGGGAGGGCTGAGCGAGGGAAGGGAGAACCACGGAGGAAGAAGCGGGGGCAAAAGCAGCAACCGCCCCGTTCTCGAGCCCTCTCCGAGAAGGGCCAGGGTGCGCAGGGGAACTTGGCGTTCTTCTCCCGCTTTCGTCTGATGCGTGTGTCCGCATTCTTAGGTAAGGGAAGGGGGGGGAGAGGAGGAGGGACATGAGGGAGGATGGATGAGTGAGGAGGAGGGGGGAAAATCTGCAGAAGGACGGGAAGATGAAGAGAATGCGGAGGACTAAGAGAGGGCGGGGGGGAGGACGGTGAGGAGGAAACGGAGGAGCTGAAAAAGGAGGGGGAGGACGAGGAGGAGGGAGGAGGAAAAGTAGGAGTGGATGAGGATGAATGAGGAAGAGGAGGAGGAGGAGGAGAAGAAGAAGGAGGAGGAGGAGGAGGAGGAGGAGCCTCGACCTGCCTCCTCTCCATCCTTCCCCCATGTCACTCCCTTCGCTTTCTTCCCCCCTTCCTCCGCTCCCTTCTCCATATCCCTTCATCTTCCCTCCTCCCCCTCGTCCTCTCACGAACGAGGACAAGTTGATTTAGTGCCTCCAGAGCTCCATTCGACGATCTTGCCTCCAGAGCTCCGTTCGCTTCGATGTCTCTCCCTCCCGCGCCTCGCTGCCTCCTGCCAGTGGGGTCCGCTGCTGACGTGCCCGTGCTGTCGACGCTTGGGAACTTTGCCGTAGCCTCGGCATCGCTCGGACGTGTGCATTTTTCCTTCGGCGAGGACCATCGAGGAGCATCCTTGATCATTTGGCGAAAAAACCACGCACGAAGTCGGAAAAAGCACAGGGAATGGACGTCCGAGCGATGGCGAGTAGCGTATCGCTCCGCCGGTTCTGGCACACCGCGCTGCGGCGCACCACACGCTACCCACTTCCGAGTCCGCGGGCGTCAACGTCGCGAGCCTTTCGACCCCGCCCGCCACGCGGAGCGGAGCGACACGCCGTCCACTCTCGCACGGCAGGGCGTGCTGCCGGGGCGGCCGCTGCGACACGCGAAGCTGACTTGGCATCGCTCGGACGTGTGCATGTTTCCTTCGGCGAGGACCATCGAGGAGCGTCCTTGCTCACTTGGCGACAAAACCACGCACGAAACCACGCACGAAACCGAAACAGAAAACAAAACCAAACAAAAACACAGGGAATGGACGTCCGAGCGATGGCGAGAAGCAGAGGCTCCCGACCGCAGACGGCCCTCCGGACCGAACGCCGAAGGTTGCGATCATCGGGTCTGGACCCGCCGGCCTCGCGGCCGCGGACGAGCTCAACAAGATGGGGCACGAGGCCAGCGTGGGGCCCCGGCCCTCTCTTCCGCGGCCTCCTCCTCCGCCTCCTCGGTGCGTCCTCCTCGGCCTCCTCCTCGGCATGCTCCTCTCGGGCCTCCTCCTCGGGCTCCTCCTCGGCCTCCTGCTCGGTCTCCTCCTCGGCCTCCTCCTCCTCTGTCTCCTCTTCGGTGCATCCTCCTCGACCTCCTCCTCCTCGGCCTCCTTCTCCTCGACCTCCTTGTAAGTCGCATCGTCGGGGGTCGTTGTCTGTCTTCGGAATCGCCGTTCTCATTGTGCCCGACGCGGGCTCGATGAGGCTCGACGCAGATTTGGCGCGGTTTCGACGCGGGTTTGACGTGGATTCGACATGCATTCGACGCGGATTCGGGGAGCTCGACATGGATTCGGCGCGGATTCGACGTCGACAGTAGCGGCGCGGCGGGACAGACAAAGTCTCCCGAAGATGCTACACGTCTCAAGGTCAGTGTTCGCTTCCCTAGAGTATGGGGGGGTATCAGGGCGGGTGCCTCGTCTGTGAGTGAATCGAGAGGAAGCCTCAGGCGGGAGCCCTCTCCCTGTGGGGCCCGTGCCTCATGTTGGTAATCCAGGCGAGTCGCCAGAAAACATGTAAGCGTCGTCATGTTTAGGCCCCTGAGGCTTGAATATGTGGGACATACCAGGCGGGATCCTCGTTTGTGGGTGCACCGCTAGGAGGTCTCGAGCGGAAGCCCCCTTCCCATGGGGCCCGCACTTCATTTTAATAATCCGAAAGGGTTACGGAACAGTCTGCCAGGCATCGCACTTGAGCACCCCAAGGGGGCAAACCGTGAGTATGTTTGGAGCGGGTGGTTCGTCTGTAAGTGCAGTGTGAGGACGGTTCGAGCGGGAGCCCCTTTTTCTATGGGGCCCGCAGATCATGTTAGCAATCCGAGCGGGTCATCGGAACACTTCACCAGGCATAGCATTTAAGCACCTCGAGGAGGCAACCCCTGAGTGAAGTCTGAGGACGTTTTGGGACCCGCAGATCATGTTAGTAATCCGAGCGGGTCGTCGGAAACACTTTGCCAGACATGGCACTTGAGCGCCCCAATTGAGGCAACCCGTCAGGATGTGTCTCGAACGGGAGCCTCGTCTGCGAGTGAAGTTTGAGGACGGCTCGAGCGGCAACGCCCCCTCCCATAGGGCCCGCAGATCATGATTGTATTCCGATCGGGTCATCGGAAACCTCTACCAGGCATCGCACTTCAGCACCTCAAGGAGGCACCCCGTGAGGATGTCTCGGGCGGGAGCTTCGTTTGTGAGTGAAGAATGAGGAAGGCTCGAGCGGGAGCCCCCCTGTCCATGGGGCCCGCAGATCATGCCAGTAACCCGCGCGGAGAATCGGAGCGTTCTGCCAGGCGTAGCTCACGAGCAACCCCAGGGGGGCAAACCGTGAGAATACCTCGAGCGGGAGCCTCGCTTTTGAGTGCATTGTGAGGAGTTCTCGAGCGGGAGGGCCCCTCTCCCCTGTCGACGGGGCCTGCAGATCATGCTAGCAATCCGAGCGGGTTATCGGACAACTCTGCCGTGCGTAGCTCTTGAGCACCCCAGGGAGTCAAACCGTGAGGATGTCTCGAGCGGGGGCCTCGCTTGCGAGCGAATTGTGAGGAGCCCTCGAGCGGGAACCCCCTCCCTGTGCGGCCCGCAGATCACGTTAGGAATCCGAGCGGATCATCACACTCCGTTTCGTTCGCATTCAGATAGATTCGCGTTCAGACGCGTTCAAGCACATATTCACTAGCGTTCAGACTCCCTCGCTCGCTCTCCATCACAGTCAGAATCCCTCTCTCTCTCTCTTTCTCTCTCAAACTCGCTCATACACAGACTCGCTCATCGCTGATATTCAGACATGCTCATATGTATAGATATGCACATTCGGACTTATGTCCATTCAGCTTACATTCAGTCTTACCCCACAATAGAACCCCTTCTGAAGCCAGACTCGAACATACCCAGACTCACGCATACTCTGACGGCCTCATACGTAGTTAGATCGAGTCTATCCTACTCAGGCTTACTCATGCGCAGCCTCACGTGTACTCAAACCCAGTCGCACTCAGAGACGCACCCACGGATACCATCGCACTCAAACTGAAGAGAGTATCCTGTGTTTCTTTTTACCGTCGGAATGATTCTCAGGCCTCTGGAGGCCTTCGAGGACCCCCAGAGGCCTCTGGCGACCTCCAGAGGTCCCTGCCGAACTCTTGCGGCTCCCGTTGATCCCTGGGCACCTGGAGGGCGGAGGAAATTGGAGGAGGAGGAGCATGAGGAGCACGAGGAGGAGGAGGAGGAGGAGGTGGTTGCACGGGTCACACTTCTGGAGCAGCGGGAAGAGTGACGTGATCCAGCAGTAAGGGGTAGGGCAGCGGACATGCTTTGGACTGTGGGGAGGAGTAAGGAGGTGGTGAGGCAGGCTTTCGGAAGCCGATGCTGCCTGCATGTGCCCAGAACCTCCTGTGTCGTCACGCGATCGCATGCTCTTCCGGGTATGTTGCCGTTTGCTTTGGCTCAGGCAGTTCGCCCCCCGCGGGCCTCGCGGAGACCTGACCTTACGTCGGGCACGTCCTTCTACAGGAAAAGTATTCAAAGATAGTCGAAGAATAGGCAGGGGACATTTTCTTTCTATGTCCAAGCATGATTGCGTACTTGTTTAACTATATGTTGTGGTTCGTCCCGATTCCGCCTGTAGGAGGGCATGCCCGACCCAAGCCTGGCTGCGGGATCTTCGTACTTCCTTTCCATGGGGGCCAGCATCGGCCTGCACGACGGCTGCGGGTGCCTGGACCGCAAGCGGGCGGCCGAGAGCGCGCTCACGGGCCTCGTGCTCACCGAAGCGGACCGCGACAAGATCTCGAAGATCTCGCAGGAGATCGGCAGGGCCGTGGAGGAGAAGAGGGCCGCGCTCGCGAGGTGCGACAGGCTGGACAAGGAAGCGCGAGGAAACTGCCGACAGTCTCCTCGATCCCCATCTTTCGGGGGGGGGAAGGATCAGAGGATCCAAAGCCCTGGTAATGATACCCAAGGTTTTTTTTTTTGGCCATCGCTACTCCCCATCAGCTCGGAAGTCTAGCTCGGCTCAGAAGTTTCGACCGCAAGTGCGGCGCGTGGTCTCTCTTGGACGAGACCCCGAGGCCCGAAAAGGCGAGGAAAGGAAAGCAGACGCATCTACGTGGGCCTCAAGGGGATCACGCCATTCCGCCGACCCCCAGAGGTGATGTGCGGCTTCCGCTTTCGCACGTGTTGTTCGCCGCTTCTCGTCGTGGCGCCTCCGTGCAGTTTTTGCTGATTTTTCTTCCTGTTCCTCCGCGTCTCTTGTGGGGCTTCTTGCGGGCCGCTTGGAGGCCTTTGGGGCCGCTTCTTGCGAGCCTTTTCAGGGCGCCTGGGAGCTTTCGGGTGCCCTCTGGGAGCTTTCTCGTGGTCGCGTGGGGCCCTACCAGGGGTCTTCAGTGGGACTTGGGGGCCACCTTGTGGTAAAGGGCTCCCGGGGCCCCAACAAGTTCCCCCTCCTGGGCCTCTCTTGGGCCCCTCCTGATGGTTCTGTGACCATCTCGGGGGCCTCTCGGGTGGTCTTCAGGCAGTCTTCGGGCCCGCTCTATGGCCCCTTGAGCCATATTGGTCCGGGGCTCCTCGGGCCGGCGGCTTTTAGAAGCCAGAACAAGCGGTAACGAGATACACAAACACACCCAACACACACACACACACCCGTGTATACACATACGCACATGTAGATACACACACACGTATATCTACATGTTAGCCAGCGTGGGCCCCAAACAGTGTGTTTGTAACAATGTATATTGTGCGATATGTGTGGTGCAACATATGTTGAACAGTCTTTTTGGTGCAAACTAGGTGGTGAAATGCAAGTGGCGCAAAATATGTTACGCTATGTTGCGCAATATGTGTTTGTGCATTCCATCTATCAATATCTGTATATGCGTATCTGTGTGATGCTATGTGTGTTGTGTAATATACGTGATGCGATCTATATGGTGCGCTGTTTGTGGTGCAATCTATATGGTGCAATTCATCATGAACAAGTTGGACACATCAGCTCCACTGACTGCTCGCGCAATCATCTCACCCACCCACTCGCAACTTGGCATACAAAGCCAGTGCGGAGGCGATTACGATGAGTGTTTGGTGATTGCTGGTGCATCACTGCGGCCGCGCTATCCCGCGCATGCTCGCGCGCACAACGGCCAGCTCGTTAGGCGCTACCGTCGCGGCCGCGGTGGCGCTTACCGTTGGGCACTGCCCAGCGCGTCTCGCAGGCCACGCTGACGCGCGGGCAGTTCAGTGCGAGTCGGTGACTTGGGCGCGCACGGTATCATGGCGACGTCGACAACGGTGGGCACGATGATGATCGTAGCGGTGATGGTGGCGGTGATGACGATGACGATGGCAAGGCCAATGACGATGCCGATATTGATCATGCTGACGACGATGATGGTGTCCACGCGTCGGCGATGATTTTGGGAGGGTTTCCACATGCCCGCGCGGCCGACGCGTGGCCCGTACGGTGCTACCACCCCATCACGCGCGCAAGGGCGTCCGAATGATTTCGAAACGCGCTCGCGTCAGGCCCGCTCGGTCACTCGCGACGACCATGTTGGACAACGCGCGTTTCCCCCGAGAGTTTACAAGGGCGCGCGCGCAGACTTTCTTTGACTCGAAAACGTGCTGCCAATCCGTGCGTCTAATTTGTCTTCGGGACACCCGATTTTGAAACCCTTTTGAACCCTTCAGTTTTTGACGGATGTCGGCATGCGTGCGCGACGACGCGTGCGCGTGCATTTCGCCCGATTTGCTGCAAAGGAGCTATTCGCGCACAGTTCTGTTGCAAGGGAGAAATGGGTGGGGTCGATACCGGCTGGGCTGCGATGGTATGAACTCATGGTAAGAATGAGTGGTAGGGCAGGATCATATTTAAATTGCCCATTCCCAGGGGGACGAGAACCGCCTGGGGCCAGATCCGAATGTGCAAACTCTGCTGCGCAATCTGCGTTGTGCAATACAGTCAGGCCCACACGACCGGCGGCGACGCGGCGGCGACGGCGAGCACATAGCCGCCAGCCGAAGGTTCGGGCCTCGACGACGGGCGGCGACGAAGCGGCGACGTGGCGGCGACGGCGAGCACAGCTGCCAGACCAGATTTCAGGTCCAGACGACGGGCGAAAACGAGGGCTCGACCGGGCGGCGACGGCGAGCACATAGCCGCCTGCCCAAGTTTCAGGCCCAGCTCTGTTAACAGAAGCGAGAATCCGCAAGTGCAAGCACATATTGTGGATTTCGATGTGCACACACATGTTTATATACATATATATATGTATATATATATATATATATATATATATGAAAAAGTGTTGCAACATTCGTGATGTGTGTGTGAGGTAATGTAGGATGTGCTTGGCGCGTCCTGGGCGAGTTGGGGCCCATCCGCGGTCATCTTAGTGTGCGTTTTGGGACTCTTGGAGGCCACCGAGGATGATTCGAAGATTAGAGGTCTCAGGAGGTGCTCCGGGGAGCTCATGCACCACCCCCAGAACTCCCCCTCAAACTCTATGTTGGACCTCTGGAGGAAGGGAAATGACGAGCGGGGAGGACAGCCAAGCATCTCACACGCCTTTTACACGACCGGTGGCCATTCCAAGATTTCCAACACTTCTTGATGGTCCGCAGGGGCTCCAGAGCCCAGGGCCGCCAGATGCCGCGGAAGTGCTGCAGCGCATCCTGAGCCAATCGCATCACGACGCCACTCGTCCCACAGGGTTCAAGAGGGGGGTGCCTGCTGGATCCTGCTGCCTGTCTGCCCATGTAGCTCCTCGGGCGCCCTCGCCGCTGGCACCGTGCTCGCCCCCTCGCGCATATGCCAGTCTCCCGCCGGAGACCGGCCGGCAGCACGCTCTCTGCCCGAGGCGGGCGGCGCGGCGGCGGCGCCCCTGCCGGCCACGCCTCGAGAGAGGCGGGGCGCCCGCCGTCTCGCGCACTCCTCGGCCCGAGGACGATCCGAGCCTGCTCGAGAGGGGGGGAGGAGGGCTTCTTTGAGGCACCCCTGCTTCTTAGAAGGCGCGGGCCTCACCTACAGATGCAGGAATGGCGCCTTCTAAGAAGCAGCCTCCTTTGAAGGAGCCCTCCCCCCTCCCTCCACCCCCTTGTGCGCGCCGCCAGAAGGGAGGGGGGCGGGCGCGCGGGCAAGGTTTTGAAGCGAGGAGGAGGAGGAGGAGGAGGGAGGAGGAGGAGGAGGAGGAGGAGGAGGCGGAGGAGGAGGAGGAGGAGGAGGGGGGAGGATGGGGGAGGGGCACCAGGAGGCCGGGGCGCCCTGGGTGGGGGCAAGAGGCACGCCTGCCAGGGGCCACAGCGGTGCATCCGCTCTTCTCGGGTGCCCGGGGCGTCTCGGGCAGGGAGCCCGAAGCTCCAAGCTGCAGTCGGATATATGGATGCAGCTCTCGTCCGCAGGAGGGGGCCGAGGAGCCGAGGGGGCGAGGACGGGCGGGGCGGAGAGCGGGCGCGAGGCCAGGCGGAGGCCCGTCGCGCGCCCCCTCCGCCGCGAGGAGAACCTCGCCCTGAGAGAGGCCAACGCCCGGCTGGAGGAGGCGCTGGCCGCGGCGTCGGGGACTCCTCGCGGGTGTCAGGGCGGCACCTCCAGCCCGAGGTGCCCCGACGGCCACCGCCAGCCCGAGCTCGTGCCGGAGCGGTGACTGCCCGGTGCCCTCGGGGCTCACGCAGCGGGGGTCGGCGCCTGATGGGGGTCAGCCAAGCCCCTGCGAGGTCCTCTGGCCGTCCGCGACGCCACAAGACGGGGTCGTCTTCGCCGGCGTTGGCACACAAGCTGGCCGCGTGAGGTCGCGCGTCAGCGCTCTCCTCTCCAATGCAGCGTGCCGCTCTTGCGGCCCGCGTGAGCCACCGCGTAAGGTTGCTACAGTCAACCCGCACAGTACGGATGGGCAACCTTCCCAAGGGTACCCTTGCATCCTTCCCTCATCGGTCCATTCTTGGCCCTTTTCGTTGGCCGCGCCCCGCTCGAGAAGCTTCGAAATGGGCGTGCATTCCGTGGCTCGATCCCGCGGATACGCAGTCTCACGCATACGTTCCGCGCGGGGCGTCCGCGAGAAATCGCTCCGCATCCGCGGGATCGCGTCCCAGGGGCCTTGCCCGCGAGGCCGCCGATACGAATATGTGCTTTGCCCACGATGAACGGACGTCCTTCTCTTGACACGGTCCCCTTCATCTGGGGGCATGTAGCCCTGGAGGTGGAATCAAGAAGCCCGCCGGTGCAAGGCCCCTGCACACTTCGCGCGCATCCCTATGATACGGGTCGACCGTACGTCATCTCGCGGCAGACCCGCTGCTGTGCGAACCGACCCCGCTCTCCCGCCCCCCGCTGGCACTGGCCGGGGAGCCCCTGCGCGGCTGGTCGGAGGGTTGGCGGACGGGCCCTGGCTGACCCAGGCCCGCGCTGGCACGGAGTCGGTGCGCCCCCGAGGCCCAGGGGTGATGGG